CAGAGCCTGAGTGCCGCAATAGTGTATCAGCGTATCTAACAGTCTATCTACATATATATGGTCTCTCTACAAAAATTCGAATGTTAGATGACTTGATCCGAATCCTAAAGGCGGAGAGGGACACGAAGGGCCACGTGACCGGGCGCGTGTTCAACAGTAACAGCTGCACCGATGCACTCCTTTCAATTCACGTTGAACCTCCACCGAGGTAACATTACAACGATCAGCTGGACGAATTTTATTCTTGGCTCACATAGAAATAAATATCTTATCCTAAACTCTGAGTGCCATAAAAATCGTTCTATCCGCGTTCGCGTTAATTCAATCGTAAACTGTTCTGTTTTCCCTCTCTAAATCAAAGCGTGGGATTATTGTTCTCATTTGAATATATCCTGATGTAGATGAAGTTATGAATATATCGTAATTTTCGAAAAAAAAAAGAAGTGATTTTGATTGAAGTGGCAAGCACGAAGAATAGAATTCAAAAGACAATGGATAATCGCCGAAGACTAATCCGCAATCGATGCGTGATGCTGACTATTATCATCGTCTACATGTTAACTGTATTTATTAAGGTACGTGTTCTTTTCGAAGCGAATTGAACATATTTTATAGAATACATTTTCATACGTTTGCAAAAATATTAGATCGTTTTCCATTGTTATGAAAATTATTGCAATTACCATGGAAATCTGCAAACTAATCTTATTTTTAAGTCCAAGATCAGCTAGTTATATAAGTGTTGTAAATAAATATGTATATGTTTATACATATCTACATTAATTCTTTCATAAGATAAGCAACAGAATTAAAGTTAATGATCGGATGTTAAGTAATCAGAGAAAATGTATTCAATCACAGAATTCGGTGACACGAACAATTTTATAGAAATAATCTGATAAAGATTATTAAAAAAATGTATTAACGCAACAAAAGGTGCCTGATTAGATTTACCTGAATATAGGAATAAATTATTATTCATTTGAGAAAAAACTGCATGTGTTCGATACCCCTGCATTTCTTATTAATACGGTAAACCGCACGAGGAAAAATTTAATTGCATTGACATAATCCGCAAGAATAATGAGATTTTTTAAAAATAATCTTGAATCGTTTTCATGTAAATTTCAATTGAATGCAATACATTGCTGATAAAGAGGGAATAATTGCAGGTATTTTCCTATTATGTTTACTTTAAAATTCTCTGAAATTCCCGTGTTACGATCTCGGGTGTAGTGTAATTTCAAGCGCTATTCGAGCCCTGTTAAACGAGAGACATTGGACTAATTATTGGCTGAATCCATAAAGCGCGAATGCAGGGCGAGGAAGAACGACCAAGATAGTAATTGTCGTACGAAAGCACAGAATTTCGATATTGATTTCATGATAATTATTACCTGTGATTCGCTTGGCTAAAAAATATATATACATAACACCGGATAAAATCGGTTCTCACGATCCGTGAATTTGCAATTTCATAACAATAGTATGCGGGTGGTAAAAAAACATGAGAGATCTTTTCTTGCGAAGGTCAAGCCGGAAATATCAAACTGCTCGGACACTTATGCGATACTTATCTGTAAAATTAACAATATAATTCATAGAAGAAGTCGCACACAGAAATCGCACACGACGAAAAATATTTCTTCTGTTTATTATAGTTAATAGATTTCGTCGTAAAAAAACAAGAAGTTTCAGTCAACTTATTCCATAATTAAATACTTCGTAAAAATTAGAATCTATTATTTGTTGCATTTTCTTGATGGACGTCATTTTTATTATTGATAAGTTTTTAATAGCTTTTAATAAGCTACTTAAATAATAAGAATTATTTGTATTGTAGTAGATATATTTTTAAAATGCTAATATAATTATAATTAATTGTAATTTCATAAAGTAACTACGATTGATATAATATTTTCTTCTTTAAAATCTAAAATACGTCGTTAAGGGAGAGGAAGTTAAAGTGAAATAGAAATTTGACTAATTCAAGAAACATGAAATCGATTAAGTATTACAGAAAAATAATCAAAGTTGTCATTGAATTTTTACTGCGCAATTAATGTATATTTTGCAATGCATTAGATGGTAAAGAGTTTTGCGTGCGTAATGATAAGAGTAAAAAATTGAACGCAAAATATGTAACGTGTTATCTGCG